TATAAACCGCAGACATAAACAGATGGACTAATAACCTGCTTCCTGGAGTGCCCAAAACCAAGTGAGTAGCTAGCTTCTTTGTCCAAGTAATCAAATCGATGGTAAGAACAATGGCAAACCTATAATGTATTAACCCTTCAGGTTATGATTGAATGTTCAAACCAAGAAGGTGTCTCCTCCTCTTCCAGTATTTCCGTGAAGTTCATTACCACTAACCAGGAGGTTATACAGCTGAAAAGGGCCAAACCATAGCAACACTAAAGCTTGATCAACATGAAGCAAAATCAATGAAAGTATAACATATTCAGGGCTGGCAATGGTCGGGTCGGGTTTTGCCAAACCCAAACCCATGAGTTTATCTATGAAAAAAACCCGAGGTAAAATCAATTGGGTTTGAAAAATTCAAACCCAACCCAACTCGCTGGGTATTTGCGGGTTCATGGGTACCCATGAATTTTTGTCGTAAAAAATTTACAATAACAAGTTTCTATACAAATAAAAGTCAAATATCAATCTCTCAATACAAATTATCCATATATATAAAAGCATCATCCTCCTTGTCAATTAAGCTTCTTCACATTCTACTCGATATATCAACTTCATTCTACACAATTAGAAAGAAAAAAATTAGACATGTCTCTAGTCTCTACAAACATAAAGAGGATTAGTTGTTTAGAATATTAAATATACCGGGAAAATTAATTATATGGGTGTGGGCGGGTACCCATGGGGTGGTTTACCTAAACCCAAAACCAACCCAACCCGGTAATAGTGAACGGGTTTAAACACGAACCCGGCCGCCCAAAATAAGTCAACACGGGTTTTACCCGCGTTGACCGGGTTGGGTCGGGTAGGGTACCCGCGAGTTTGGGTTTTGTTGCCATCCCTAATAACATTGAAATACAGACAGAACAACGTCTAATTTAGAAGAGAAGCGAGAAAAGGATCGATCTCTAGCTGGCGTGAGAATTTGAAGACAACCATATTGGATATGAATTTTTTCAACATCTAGTTTGACCCTACTACAGTTTTTTACAGAAGCAACTTCTAGTTTGAGTTTATAAATAGGCAAAATACATTTGTATAGCCATAACTTTCACACTTTTGACAAATATAGCCATTACTATTCGAAAACCACAAACAGCCTAAAAATTGGATGGTATGTGACAAATCTAGCCATTTTTGTAAGAAACTTTGACGGTGTTAGAAACTCCGTCAGTTAGGTTAACGTTAGGCTGACTAAGATGCCAAATCATCGCACACGTCAGCGACCAGTCAGCATATCATTGCCACATCATTTTAAATTTTTAAAATAATTAATTTTAAAATAAAAAATAAAAACTTCACTAAAATTTTCCCTACCCCTTCCACTTTCCCTCGTCGCCGCCCCTCAAGCCTGCAAACCTTCATCGATCTCCCCGATTCACACATCCCTGCCGACGCCGCAGATACCACGAGCTCCGCCAACAACAATTGAATCCCAATCCAAAGACCCCTAACCACCACTAACAATGGCGGCAACACCTCCTGGCCACTGCTTCTTCTCAATTCAAGCTCGGCGGCTCTCTAGGAAACGGGAAGAGAAATCGATTGACTATCGATTCATCGCCAACTCTGCGAGACCCTTCCCCTTCCTCCCTTTGCTTCGTCATCGTCACGGCCGGAGATTCTTTGCCTCTGTCGACGGCGGTTTCCTTTCCTTCCATCTCTCCCCGTCTGAAACTTCTCCATCGACGCTCTCTCGTCGCCAGCGGTAGCAAACTGTGGGCAAGGTGAAGTTGGGCGGCGGCAAGCCAAGGATTAAGAAGATCGAGAGCCCTAGTAAACAATTGGCTGATTCGAAGAACAAATCCATTTCAACTTCGGTGCGCATCTCGAATTTCCCACCTTTTTTCTCTATCTCCGTTCAGCTATAGCGACAACCAAAAATGCTGGAGTGAAGAAAGTCTTCTCCTTGGCTGGCTAGAAATATGACCCCCCTGAAGAGGTTCTGACTTCCGAGGAGTTCTATAGCCTTCGCCACCGCCATCCTCATCATCGCCTGCGTCAAACACCGTCGTCCTCAATTGTCGGCGTTCTTTTCTTCTCGTCATTTTCAGAAAGGGGGAAAGGAGAGAGAGAGAGAGAGCAGATCGGCGCTAGTTGGGGAAGAACAGGGGTTTTTTTTCCGTTGGTTTTCCAGAAAGAATAAGAGAGAATGAGGGAGATAAGGTTTGTGCGGCTAGGGTGTTTAGGGTTTTTTTTTGGTAATATGGGTTTTCTTCTTTTATATTTTACTAAATAATTTTTTTTTGTTTTTTTGTTAATCCACGTGTCTGACGAGAAATTGCCAGCTCAGCATTTCCGTCTGTACAGTCAGATTGTTAAGTAACACCGTTAAAGAGATGGACGGAAGTGGCTATTTGTGGTTTTCGAATAGTAATGGCTATATTTGTCAAAAGTGTGAAAGTTGTGGCTATACAGATGTATTTTGTCATATAAATAAGTACTTTTTCAAAAAATTAGTTGAGTGTTAGGCTGAATAACTATTAAAAGTACTTTTAAATATAAGAGACCATGTAAAATGAATTAAAATGGATTTTCAGTATAAAATACGAATAAAATTCTAAATATTAAAAAAGTAATTAAAATAGAGCTTGTTAGATTTTTATATTAAATAATATTTTTTATACTTTATTTTATTTCTAAATTACATTAATGAAAATTTTTATTTATTTGGAAAAATATGCTTATGCTCTTATGTTATGTTATGTAAAAGTAAAAAAACACTTTTGAAAAGTCAAAATCTGAACTTTTTAAGGTGTTTGACTATGCTTTATTTTTTGAAGTAGAAAAAAATTTCTAAAAATTGGTTCAAACATAAATAAACAATTACAAAAATATTGCATAACATGCCTAATTTTTAACTATTAAGTAAGTACTAAGTAGTAGCTATTATCCTTCTATATATAAAAAAAGTAGTAGCTATTATCCTACGAGGCTACGACCCTCCCTATTGTGCATTGAATACTTTCCCATCCCAGTTAGGCAACCTTTACATAAATTAGCAAGGAGTAATAAGTGTACGCAATAGATATTATTAAGCACAATTATTTTAAATAATCAAAAAGGAAAGATTAAAAAACGTTACAAAATGTTTAATCTTGACACATGTGTTAAACCATTTTCTTCACACTCTAGAATTCAGTTTTGATTAATCAAAAACCATCTTACTCCTGGCGTGTGTTCGTATCAAACGTCTTTCATCTAATTCAAACCAAACTACAACGTTGGTTGGGAAATATTGAAACGACGGAAACGCCGAAGGCGTGAAGCCCAAGTGACCGACTTGTTTATATTTGCTCTGCTTTGCTACAGAATACCCAAAAAACCATCGGCGTTAGAAAACAGGGGAGTTTCCGTCCCTGGTTTCCCGCTTTCCCCTTCATCGATAAAACAGCAGAAAAAGCAATCACTCCCCTGAATTGAATGCCCTCTACCATCACGCCGTCAATCTACTGGCCGTCGCAAACAAAAAACCAGCCGCAAACCGGCTCTGTTATAAGAGGGAAGTCAGCTAGCTAAGATCTCCATTCATCCATCCTCTTATCAATCAACGAGATCGAACCCACCTTCCATTTCCCCCTTATTCTCCTTCCTACACTCTAAAGTTGCATTCTTTTTGTTGGTTATGGCTTCACTGGTGCTCCTGTTGTCCCAGATTGTTCGGCCGCAGAACCCAAACCTAGTCTTCGTAGCTGCCACACGGCCTCGTTTCTCTTTTAGCACCTCTGCTGCTACCGCTGCCACTTCCGCCGTCTCTTCTTCTGCTTCTTCATCCTCTTCCGCCGTCGCCAGCGTCGAGGACTCGGAGATGGTAGCTGAGATCATCGAGGAGCCTCTGTTTTGTGTCGACATGGTTTGGCCATAGAATGTTCTTTTGATTGTCTTCTTGTAGCTGTATGTATGAACTATATAAAATGACAACCGGCAAAAGCCGGGGGACTCTTCTCTGTTTCAGCTTCTCTTTTTAGTTACTGGGTTGTCACTTTAATTCTTCGTCTCCCCTTAATCCAGTCATTCCAGTTACAATTTGGGCGTTACGCCTGTTACCACTAGGCAAGGAATTAGGAACTCTGAACAGATTTCCTTTTCGTTTCCTTAATAAAATGCACTATGGAGGAGTTGGTTACTCTGCTTTCACAAGTTTTGAGAATAAGCATCCTCGACATAGCCATCGTCCAATTATATCTGCTAGGAAATAAAAAATGAAGGTCCTCGCTGCCACTCAAGAAAATTTTGCTGTCTCAATGACACTTGCATCCGATTTCCGGACACGTACAAAGAGATCAGGAAGTCTTCTGAGGGTCGCAGAACTGACGATGCAATCCGCCAATTTTGAAGCCAATAGAACCTTGGGTTGGATCATGGATGCCACAAAGGAAGAGACTTTTCTAGTGGGCTAATGAACCAAGATTCCTTTGGTTTTTAAGGCATTTTGGGCCAGATGGAGCCCAAGAGGAGCCCATAATACTTCCTTCCTTTGAATCAACCTATGCCCACCGGCCACTGCTTCCGGGGATCGCCGGAGGAACAGATGAAAGAAGACTGCGGGCGGCGCCACTTCAATCTCAAACCATGCTTCCTTTTCAGTTTGCTGGTTAGTTCTTTCTTACTTGCTTCCCTCTTTGCTTCTGCCTCTGGTTCGAAACTGAAATCCGGCCGGTTTAATTCTTGATTTTGTATGGACGGCCTTGGGATTTCCGAACCAAGAAGCAGAAGCCGAAGTTCTAGGTACCGGCGGATACCTTCCAGAGTGATAACTTGTAGCTTATTTTGCAAAACCCATGTTGAATATTATTCCATGGTTTCCTAAAAGAAGTTGTGCTGAAAGCTTTTGCTCCACAACCAGAATCGTGATATGCTTGGCATTTGGGTACAGTCTGACTTCATAACTTCATTTGTGTCTACCAAATTACCAATAAACCAAGCCTCTCTTTTATTAATATCAAGCATCAGCACAATCTCTGCACATTTCTCCAGCCTTCTCTTCTCCAGTTTGTTTGTGGTGAGAGGCTCTACTGCCATAGCCGAAGCACCGTGTTTCTCTGTGAACTCTTGATCATTACCTCTGGGGACTCATATTCATGGTTATGTTATCGAACTTGGTTTAAGTAACGATGTTTTCACCCAAAAAAATCTGATCAGAATGTACTCAAAAGGTGGCCGCTTGCCTGATGAATGTAAGGTGTTTGATGACATGCCTCAGAGAAATATGGTTTCTTGGGCTTTGCTCATATCTGGTCTGTTCAGGGGTGCGAAACTGAATTGGGATTAGAGACGTGCTTGGATATGGCAAGATGAGTTTGTTCTTGGTAGTGTTATGAAGAGGTGTCTTTCTATGGAAGCTGGAATTTTTGGTGTGTCTATTCATTGTTGGGTGCTAGTTCGGCAATTCAACTTTGAGTTTCTCTGTAAAATGGAAGATACTGAAGCTGCAGATAGAGTTTTCAAGTATATGGAGAAAGTAGATGTCGGTTGTTGGAATTCTATCCTCGGTGGATATGCCCACGTGGGGTTTGACGTTGAAGCTCTGAGCATTGCATCCTCAATGTGATGTCAAGGACTAAAGTTTGACAAATATACCTTTGTCAGCTCTCTTCAAGGAAGTTCAGTGGAGTCAGATTTGCATTTTTGGAGGCAGATTCGTGGACTGATTCTCAGAACTGAAGAAGTTATAGTATGTCTGTAAGAATGCTCTTATGGACTTGTACACCAAGAATGCCAGGGTAGATTGTGCAATGGAAGTTTTTGGGAAAATGGTTGATAGGTATATTTTCACATGGAATACTGCATTTGGTTGCCTTATTCATACCAAGGGTTCGAAGAAAGTCGTGAACTTCTTTCCCAATTTTATGTTAAGCAGCATAAGTCCCAATCATATTACATTCTCATTACTATTTAGGCTATGTGGGGAGCTAGTGGATGATGTGATTCTTGGTCTTCAGTTTTGTCCTCTTGCAGTCCACTTTAGATTCTTTCATGAAGTAAACGTAACATCTTCTCTTGTTAAGCAGCATAAGTCCCACATGTCTGTCAGAAAATAGTTCAGCTTATTCATGGAGATCAAATCTGGATTTGCTTCTCATGGGAACTGTTGCAGCTCTCTAGTCTAAGGCTGTGCTAAACTGCGTATGTTTCCTGATTCTTCCTTCTTCTTTTTACGCAGTGGCAGAAGAATTGATTTAGCTTCTTGGGGAACCATGTTATTCGCATTGTTAAATCAAGGCCATGAACAATAAGCCGTCAGATTTTGAAATCTCTACTAGAAACTGGTGGGAGACCTGATGAATTTATTCTGGGTAGTATTCTTGGCAGTTGGTGGCAGTAGCGGCGGTTATTTTAGGATCAAAGCTGGCCAACCTGTTGTCGCCAAATTAAGTTACGATGAAGACACATTTGTTGCTAGTGCAATGCTAGACGGCAATGCAAAATGTGGAGACATCACAAGTGCAAGAACTGTTTTTTATCAATCATCAAGATTCCATGATGTCGTCCTATACAATGCTATGATCATGTGTTATGCCCATCATGGTCTAGGCTTAGAAGCTCTAGATATGTTTGGGAAGATGAAGGAAGTCGATCTCCAGCCCAACCAAGCTAAGTTCGTGTCGATCATATCCGCAGTGGTCATTTGGTGGTCTAGTCTACAAAGGATGCCTTTTGTTTGAATCAATGATGTCAGAACAGGGTCTGGAACCTTCCCTGATAATTATGGTTGCTTGGTGGACGTGATTTTCCAAAATGGGCACCTTGAAGATGCTAAGATGATATTCGAACCAATGCAGTTTCCTCCATGGCCTGCTATCTTGGGATCTCTGCTGAGGGGTTGCAGGACATACGGACCCAAGGTGGTGGGATAATGGGCAGCTGCAAAGTTGATTCGTTTGGTTCCCGTGAATGATGCTACTTATGCGCTGAGGTTTAAGGTTCATTCTGAGAGTGGTAACTGGGAAGTTGTAGTGAGTATCAGCGTACCTATCTCTGAGATGGACCTCGGAAAGACTGCGTGACAGAGTTGGATTGAGGTCAACCAAGGGTAGCTGCTGATGCAAGTAAAACTATGGGGAACTTGGAATGGTCATTGATTAATAGATTACTAAGCGGTTTTATGGTGCAGTGGAAGAGTCACTTTGAACCTCTACGCTGAAGATTTTCTTTAGCTCTGCAGCGATGTTGTGGTCCATAAACCGTTTTGAAACTATTGGCAACAGGAATAGACTAGCACTTTCCAAGTACAGGGCTAGAGGGAAAGCGGAGAGTAGTTTGGTCTGTGCTACTTTTCTATGTAACTGGAGATTACTTACATGAGAAGGTGTTCAAACAGTTGATTGACAAAGATACAAGGTTAGTGGTTGAGCTTTTCCTTTTCTTGATGAAAAGTGCTTTTCCTTGAATAAACAAATAAATAATCATCCAAACTTGAGCAAAGAAGCTTTATTTCCCCTTCATCCTTTATTTAATGTGGAGGAATAAGTAGGACAGTTTTGCTCAATAAACCACTTAAATATTCTGACTCACCTTCGTCAAGGTCGACAATATATCAAAAAGTAAACGGTATTCTCCGAACCATTGTCTCAGATTTGGAGATTCTACAGTCAAGAGTGAGTGAAACCATCCTTTTCTTTTCTTCTTCACTCATCAGTTTGTATATTTTTCTTCGAAGTTTGATTTCTTTGTTAAGGATCAATTGATTTCTCTTCCTGCCTGACTGAATACTCCATCGTTTCTGTGGTTTTCAGAAGCCCATCTCGGGAGCCATGATTGGTTCAGCTATTAAGCTCATTGGGGGTGTCCTCATTTCCTACTACCTTGGGCGGGCTCTGGTTCGCCATCTGGCTGCTGCTTTTGATCCAAATGTAGATGATGATAATGATGATCATCATTATGGATCTAATACCCGGCGGCAAGGGGAGTCACCAAGCCGGTCTCATCTTTACGGGGTTGCTGACAACAACACCACTAATAAATTCTACCGACCCTGTAATCCACGGTCAACATCTTCTAAAGCATCTTCGTTTCGCTCTAAGGTGGCGGAGTCCCCAACTTCGAAGTCAACTCTGCGCCTTGCTCCCCCAAGCTCAAGTTCAACTAGTGAGGGGACAGAAGACAAGTACTTCTTCGTCCAAAAAGGCAAGTCACCAGTTTATGAGATTCCAGAGAATGTTGACTGTTTGATCAGGCAAAATAAGGTGCCTCCAGTACTGCTGCGGAAGCCCTTATCCGCTTCCACATACATAGAGTTTTTTGCTGCTCTTCTGTATGCAGAGGACCACTATCACAAGGTACTAGTGATAACAATTCATTATTCGGGCATTTTCTATACTTAATTCACTTGTGGACTCCGTCGTATGTGTTTCCTGGTCTGAATCAGAAATGGAGTGACTACAAGTTGTTCAACGTGGATTTGGAGCTGAAGCAAGCAGCAGTTTATGACAAGAATCGGTCCACTGATACCACGCGTAATCCGAAACATGACAAGACCTTGGCATCATTTGTGATTGATGCAGTTAGTGAGAAGCGCCCCTTACTTCTATCCAGAGACTTTGTCATCGCATGTCCTTCAAATGTACCGAGCAGCTGTACATTTCAGGTTTAGCCTTGTGGTCGTGGACATGTGTTTGACGCTCAACTTTTTTTTTTTTTTATCGATTTTCTGATTGTTGCTAACTGGTCAGGGGCTGATCTGTCATGTGGAGAGGACGAGTAACATCATCTTAGTTGAATTCCGCCAAGATTTCTTCTCGCAGCATCGGCCAACTTCCAAGTACGATGTGAGCTTCTCATTCAACCGAGTGTGCCTTAAGAGGTGTCATCAGGCGATCGAAGTCGCTTCCACTCGTTCATGTCTAAGAGGTTTCATTTTCCCGGATTCCCTCTCCAGTACTCGGACACGCATGGCTACTTCAGTATCTACCCATATGTTCAATCACACACTTGACAAGCAACAAAGGGTTGCAGTTGATCAGATCCTGAGCCTCCAAGGACCTCCATCATACCTCATAGAGGGTGAGCTAGCCGTGAAAACCGGCACGTCAAGAACAATTACAAAGCAACAACTATCAAGGACTGGATTGACAGTGAAAGAGGCCGTGGCCCAACTGTATCGAATCAGTGTGGATCATCGGATTCTTGTTTGTGCACATGCTAACAGAACCTGCGATGTGCTGGTGGAACATCTGAAGGAGGACATCATGGACGGAAACATGTTTCGAGCTAATGCAGCTTTCAGGGAGATTGATGGGGTCCCCAGTGAGATCCTCAGCTGGTCCGCATACAAAGGGGAATGCTTCACATACCCTCCGCTCCAAGAGCTCCAGAGGTTTAGAGTCATAGTGTCTACTTATATGACGAGCTTCCGTCTGCATGGCCAGGGTATTGCCAAAGGACATTTTAGCCATATCTTCTTGGTGGATGCTTCAGACGCAACCGAACCGGAAGTGATGGTAGCAGTGGCTAACTTGGTGGGCGAGCAGACGGCTGTGATAGTTTCGGGTTCAAAAGGCGGGAGTCCAGGTTATGTTCGATCCGACATTGCTAGAAAGTATGGACTTATGACCTCCTACTTTGAAAGACTTAAAAATTGCAGCAATCTGTACCATGGTTCTTCTGCTTCTTCAATGTTCATCAGCTTGTTGGATGAGGATTCAGCAAAAGGTTCGATCCAACGCCAGGTCTCATGGACCAAACCTCGTGCAGGATGGGTGAAGTTGAATGTAGATGGAAGTAAACGTTTCGATCCACCATCGTCTGCGATTGGTGGTGTTCTCAGGGATTCGTCCGGTGAGTGGATTGTTGGATTCTCCAATTATGTTGGCCAGGCATCCGTTCTGGAAGCTGAACTTCAAGCCTTGAGAGATGGTCTCAACTTAACCTGGTCCCTTGGTTTCCGAAAGGTTGAGGTCAACTCAGATTCTCAAACTGTGGTTCATCTTCTCAAAGCTGCGGAGTTTCATTTTCATCCATTGGTTACCATTCTTGATGATTGTTACTCGTTAATCAATCGAGATTGGGATATTTCATTGCATCACTCTCTCAGGGAAGCTAACCAAGTAGCCGATGCTCTTGCGAAGGAAGGACATGGATGTGATCCAGGTGAACGACTTTGGCGATCTCCCCCGATGCACATCGCAATGATGGTGGACCAAGACAAAAGAGGTGTGCAATTTGTTAGACGGTGATCGACTTATTCGAAGTGTCTTCTTTTTCTATTTCCGATGTAAAATATGTGTGTTATGTATCTCAGGCACAAAGTTGTGAACTTTCTTTCGTTAGCTGGCTTTCTATGAGTAGAAATTGAAACTTTTACATTATTGGTTGAGCAATGAGACCATCAGCAATTATGCATTTATGCTACCTTGGTTGTAAAGCTCTTAGGGGTCGTTTGCTTGTTGGATTTAAAAAATGAGAGTTTTGGTTCAAAAAAACCTTTGGATTTATGAGGGATTTGTACCATCATGGATTTGAAGAGTCTATTGTTTGCATGATAGATTTGATGATATAATTATGATGGATTTGCTATAAATATAACTAGCCATCAAGAATTTACAAATCCCACCCCAATATGTGGGATTTACAAGTCCATGGGGTCCACGGATTTGGATCCAAAAAAGGGGAACAAATCCGTGGACCCCACGGATTTAACACCTAACAACAAACAATGGACTTGGTTAAAATTCATCATGCTTGGGATTTGAGTCCCAAATCCATCAAGCAAACGACCCCTTAATCTTGTACATAAGCATTTAGCTTTGTTTTGGGAAGAACTGAGGATTGGGCCTCTCGTCCATGAAGGAAAACTTTTTTAGTGGACTACAGGCCCAAAGCATACTAAAGGTTCTCAGTTAATTTGGGCTCACTATAGCCCAGAAACAAGCCCACAATGCTTACGTCCTTTCAATCCTCCCGTTCTTCTCCCACTGCTCCCGATTGCCGGAAAAGCAAACAGCGGCACTGGATAGATAGGTACACACACTGACACACAGAGAGCGCGAGAGAGGCTGAAAGGAGGAAGGAGATGAGTAGCTGCAATGTTTTCGCACCCAGTTGCCACCTTCAGGTTTTTTTGGCAAACGATTCCTGCCATGCCCTCTACAATCTCAAAGCTCCTCCCTTTATGCTTCCTTCACCGGTTAGCTCCATCTCTCTTGCTTTCCTTTTTTGTGATTCTGCTTCAGGTTGCACCAAATGTGCAAAGTTCTTTCGTCAGTGGTTCTAGTTTCTAATTCTGCTAGGGAAATTCTTGTTTTCTGGATGGATTGCCTTCGATTTCCAGGCTAAGAAGCAGTCGTCGCCATTTGATAGGCGCCGGAGAGCTTCCAAAGCGGTGGCTTATTTTGGCTTGAAGCCTCCTCCTTATCAACTTGTAATATCCTCCTCCTCCTCCTCCTTGTTGCTTTCTGTCTATTTCTTCTCTTTAATTCTGTATGTATTGATTGAAAGGTGAAAACTATTGCTGACATACACCTTCAGAGTTTGCATAAAAGCTAATCACTTTGCGTCTAAAAGGTTGAGAAACGTTTGGTGGGATAGAGAGAAAAAAATGGAAGGTGCTTGTTTTCTCTTTAGGAATGAGCTGAAATGAGAGTTGATTGAGGTGTTGGGTGTTTGAATTGGCGGGGTTGTTAGGATGCGTTAGAGCCACACATGAGTAAGAAGACGGTGGAGTTGCACTGGGGAGGTCATCATCGTGGTTATCTGGAGAACTTGAACAAAGCTTTGGCGAAAGACGATGTTCTGTACAGCTACACCATGGATGAACTCATCACAGTTACCTATAACCGAGGCAACCCTCTACCTATTTTCAACAATGCTGCTCAGGTTGGGAACACATTTGAAAGTTGGGCTTCAAAAGTTTTGATTACAATGCCGAGACTTGTTGGTAGTTTACTAGACCTGCGATAAAACGTCATTGAAGTCTCTTCCGACTTTTGATTCCAGGTCTGGAATCACGACTTCTTTTGGGAATCCATGCAACCAGGAGGCGGCGGGATACCTGAACTTGGTTTGCTCGATCAGATCGAAAAGGATTTCGGGTCCTTCACAAATTTCAGAGAGAAGTTTGTGGAAGCAGCCTTGACATCTTTTGGTTCTGGCTGGGTTTGGCTTGTCTGTGAGTGCTTTAAAAACTTTTAAATCGTGGATGATGTTAGTCTGTTAGTCTTATCTGAAGTTGGCGATAAATGCTTAATTTGTAGTGAAGAGAGAAGAAAAACATCTTGCTATAGTGAAGACATCAAATGCTTTCACTCCACTTATTTGGGATGACATTGTAAGCAAATATTGCCTCTCACGTCGATTGATCAACTAAGATTCATCTTAATGAGTGCACTGATCAATATCTCTCTCCGTCCATGTGTTTTTTTCCAGCCTATAATCAATCTAGATGTGTGGGAGGTAAGAAATTATTGTCTGTCTATGTCCAGTTCAGCAACTTCGCATTTCCAACATCTTTTTTCCTTATATGCTACTTGGATCATGAGTAGTAAACATCTACCATCTTTGTTTTTCGCAGCATGCTTACTATTTGGATTACAAGGTATGACTCATGTTTTATTCCTTTCCACTTTATGGCAATCTTCTTGCACGGGTTTGCTATGGTTTCTTGTTATAGCTAAAAAGTGATGTTCAACAGAACGAGAGAGCAAAGTACGTGAACGCCTTCATGGACCACCTCGTATCCTGGAATACAGCAATGGGAAGGTTGGCTAGGGCAGAGGCCTTTGTGAATTTGGGGGAACCTAATATCCCGGTTGCATAGAAGGTGGAACAGTCGGGCACCAGAAAGTCCGCGGTGGAGTGCAGGCATCCTGACCTAGCCCTTCCAAATGAGAGATTCCGTACCCAATAATGGAAGACCATTTGGAGACAAAGGAGCCAATCTTTGTTGCGTCGTGCTGAACGAATCACTGTGGTGGTTTAGAGTGAGGCTCGGCACAAGTTACATGTTGAAAGAGAGAAGGCAACGATAGGAAAAGAGAGATGAAGGGCTTATGGAGCCATAAACTGAGGGCCCTTGGGTAGGAGCTAACTAACTAGGAAGGTAGAAACTAGAGCAGCTGAAGCAACTCACCTCCAACATTTTCCATCCCAATTTTGAAAGAGTTTGTTTGCTTGGTTCCCCAGTTTTGGAGTTTATATAGCCTTTGCTAGAACAAACACTAGTGTGTGTTAGTGAATTCTGTCCTCGAAACCCTGCGTCGAATGGATGTTTCCTTCTGTCTTCATGAGACTCATATGCTCTGCTTGATTAATGTTATCATGCTTCTTTTTGCCTCTGTTGCTTTTTTTTCTTCTGTAAAGTCACCAATTGATGTCCACTATACACAGAAAACCTATTGCTGTGGTGCAAGGCTGCAAGCAGGTTGAAGAACCATTGATGCTCTGTCTAATAAAGTCTCAAGTCAGACTTTTCTTTAAATCTCTCTATGAATCTAAAAGGAACCTAACTGCTCCTTGAAGATCCAAAAGGATGTACCAAAAAAGGAAGGAGAGCCCTCTTTAATAATTGATGAGTGAATGTGAATGGACTGGAGGGTGGTGGTGGTGGTCTCCTGGTCTGGTGGTTATGTTTATGTATTTGCTGTAGCACACTAAGAAGCATAAGATCACAGTCACACAACTTCAACAATCTCCTCCCCATCTTTCTCCTTTTTCTAGCTTCCCCATATCATCCCCTTTCTCACCTTTTTGCTCATTATGCCTTTTATGTGTTCCCTTTTACACCATTGATGGAGCTCGGAATTACAGATCAGGATCAGCCTGATAACGATATTACATGATTATTTGCAGATATACAGTAAGGAGTGTGTGTATGCCACATGTGTAGGTATATGGCAGAGTCCTCCTAAAGTTGACAGCAGAGGCTGCTGCTGCAGCACATGGAGATGCCCTCCACTTTTAGCTAGTCTGGGTCTCTTGTTCTTGTGGACAATTAATGGTAATGTGATTAGTATTGTTAGTTATCTATTAATTAAGTGATTAATTGTCGCCTTACCTTCGTCGCCGTTCCCATGCAAGTTCGCAACTGTTCATCTATCCATCTACACATGGCGGCATATTGGGAGAACCTAAATATAGATTATGAAAAGGAAGGAAGGATTAGTTCCTAAGTAATATCTAATCAAATGTTCCAATCTTTAGCCTTTGTGGACCAATTGGTGGCAACCTAGCAAAAGCATATGTTATATTATGTGACGCTGCACCTACCTACATATATAATAGACCCACGACGGTGCAAATAATTATTAGTTAGTGACTTGGTGTATATAATGCAAGGCTTCCTCCTTTGTCTTTCTTGGTGTACATAAAATGATTAATGAGGAACCCCTTGATGATTTATTAATAGATATTTGTTTATTTATTTATTAACACCCAGTTAGTGAGGGAAAATTGGCGGGTTGGACGGTTTTCGAGATAAAATTCACTTACTCATCGTTTTGGTGGATGATGAAAAAATTATTCATAGGCACCTATTTGTACATTATGGGTGCGTGACGGCGAACAGAGATGGGTTTGGCGGGTTAGTGGATTAAAACTTGTTTCAAATAATAAGATATTGATGGACCATACAAGATTACAACAACCTAATTAACTATCAAAACTGAGAAATTCATGAGAATCAATAACTATTAAGTGTAGTTTATTGCACAAACTAACATCAATCATCTCATTTTTTTAAAAAAAAACAAAATTGATGTATAACCATAATATTTTTTAAACAAGTGAAGTATAATTTATTTTGTAAGTCAAGAAAAAAATTAAAAGAATTATTATTTAATTGGATCAATCACGATTAAGATTTTCAAGTACAACATAAATAAATGCATACTTGATTTTTATTTACTATTATTATTATTATTATAGGCATCTTATATACCCAATCATTATGATTATTATGCCTATGAATATGATAATCATCATTGTATGTATGCTGATATTATAATCAAATTCAAGCGCACGCTCATCAGAGCCATACCACCAACATACTCATTATTTTATGCAGACAAATTCAGTCTTTTATAGGAAGTAAAAATTAATATTTTACTATGTTGCTAATGAGGGGAAGAAAATGATAATTATAGACATATGCTCTTTTTTTTTTATAACCCTCACACATATGCTTTGGATTGTACATGTTAAAAAACTCTGTGATAGTTTAGATATACTGTTGAGATAAAAATATGTCGACAATCAACTTGTCTTGATAATTCTAACTATGAAAAAATAAAGTCTACAAATTTTATATCTTTTTGTTACACATCGACGTTTCTTCAATCTTTTGAAATGATGAATTAAATTACGAGACTAATATAGTCCCATTGTTGCATGATATATATGATTTGCTTCAAAGTCAACAGCTAGTAATAATAAAGGAAAAGTGTGCTTCCTTTGTGTTTGTTGACGATGCACATATTTTATGTTGTAGATTTGGGGTATTGGGGCTGATTTATGGTACAAGCATATTGAAGAAGTTGGGAGATCCATTGAAATACATAATCTGTGAGTCGCAAGTCATATAATTTGATCGCAATACTTTGTATAAGCTGGTGTATTTCATCATGACTACAACGACACAGTTTAATTCATGATTTACTTGCCGAAGTCAATGTGCGTATAATACTATCCATGTTAGGTAGCATTCTGATGAGCTTACTCCATATTCATAAACGAATTGGTATTTTGCATATGAACATGATTTCGTTGACCAGTATATCTTATGAATCACTGACAATTACTATATATTTGTTTTCCATAAAAGGATAACATAAAATTCATGTTCGAACATACATGGTTTAGCAAATTTGTGAATATACTAAATCAAGGAGTCTCTATATTAGGCCACATCAACACATGATAAGATTTATATTCTACACAACCCCTAATATCCATCAAGAAAATTTTCAAAAAGCCAACAAAATAGTGAAAATGAGAGAAAATGAAAGCAAGAATAAGTAAAGCCAAGGGATGATATATAAAGGATTCGCCACTAAAACAAAACACAACATGTGGGATGGGATGGGATGTCTACAACTACAAGGGAATATCCCCACCAAGTGTTTTGAGTATGAAACATTCTTCATCTTTAATCATATATTTTTATTTCAAAGTCACAAACTACCCACCATATTGAGCCCCATTAAATGTAAACTACCATCATTGAATGAACAAGTTCATAACTAGAGAAACGAACCACACGCCTAAAGTGTTTATCAATCGATTTCCGAATAATTGATAATGGCATTCAAATTTATAGTTTATCAGCTTAACAATGGCCCTTACATATGAAGTAACTGGTGCCCGAGTATTTAGTATTGGCTCTGACATACATGCTAATGAGTCCAAATTCTTACTAAAAACCTGTTGAATCAGAATATAAGATGCGTGCATATAATTATTGTACTAATTATTGATTTTGTTGTTACAAGGCACCATGCGACTACTAACCACCACCGCTACCATAATAGGTCAACCGCAAACTTGATGACGATAGGACAGCCTTGATTTTTGCTTTGTGGAGTCGAAGCTCTAAATATCTAAGTATTTATTCAATATCATCAATTTAATCATTAATTTTTTCTTGAAATAACCCAGTTGTAATATCTCGTCTGATCCCATCTGTATGCTGTTCTCTTTATAATTTTAAACTGTTTTTGTTAATTTAGGGTTGGACCAAAATGGTTTGAATGCATTGTGTAGTGGTATCATTTTGACTAAGCATTAACTTCTTTATGATTTAGGTGATTAGTGTATTGTGATTTACTACTCTTTCCTCACCAACATATTTATTTCTCCACTTGGCCCATCACCTTCACCTGAAATAAATTCGTTTCTAAAACAATTTTTTTTTTAAAAAAAGAGAAACATATATTTGCTATTTTTTATGGTTATAGTTGCTATTTTTCCTTGCTGCCGGCTGAATTTCGGTGAACAATATATTTGTGGAACTGAATCCGGTGCTCCCACTTCCACGTTTCTTCCATCTACGGCCGTTGCCTTCTTCCATCATCCGACGGTCCTGATTCAGAATTTAATAGATTGCATTACGCCACCTGTCATTTCGTCCTCGCTGTCCGACATTTTAGAGCTTCGAACCACGCCCAAACTCTCTGGTCTCAACACCGACTTTTGACTTTGGTGCTCCTCCTTCATTGCAACTGCCAACAGTTAACCTTACCCCCGATTTGACCAAACTACCCTCTTACAGACCTCAAAGAGACACAGACAAAGCCTGAGTTGGAATGACCGGGGCATATTTGTCTTTCCTTACTAACCGTTAAAACCACTCACGGTTTTCCTACATTGTCCGGTCCAACATCATCCAACCCTTTATGGTTCGAATTTAAAGTAACTAATTACCGAAAAAACCAAACCCAGGAAATTCAAAATCTCTTGTCCGATTCCAACTTTTTTCCTAATTTCCCCTTTTTTCCTGTCCAGAGTGATGTGAAGTTACGCCATAAAAAAAAAGCTGCTTCTTCTCCTTCACCCTCAGACCACCACCACATCTCGTTTCTGAGGTTTTTTCATTTTCATTTTCCATTTCCCGATTCCAAAGATTTTTTCTTTTCTCTCTCTCTCTCTCTCTCCCCCCCTCCATTCTTCACTTTCTCGGAAACCAATCATCCCCAGCTCTGCCTCCTGGGTTCATTCACGGCTCCACTTGCTGTTCTTCCCAGGCGCTTTCTTCCTTCCTCTCTCAACATTTTTCTTTCCTTCTTCGGGAGACGGGTGAAAAGAGAAGGCTTTGGCTGCCTGCCTTTTGTTTTCCCGCCTCAGTCTCATCATCTCAACTTGGCCGGCGTACTGCAGTCAGTCTAGGGTTTTCGCCACGCCGATCTGGCTGCTTCTGAGCCTTGCATTCACAATTCCGACTTATCATCTTTGACTTCGTCAAAGGTATGTGCTTTTTTTCTTTCTGGGTACCATTCATTTACCTGTTGTGTCTGTCAGTCATAATTCCGCCATTACTAGCATTCTGCTGCTAGATCGATCGATTGAAGCTCTCCTACCAGCAGCCCGCATTTCTCTGGCCGTCTTTGTTGGGCTGGTGCTCTGTTTGGTTGCGGCGATTTTTTTTTTGGAGCGAAGAATCAAACTTTGTCGTTATTGTTGTGTTGTAATACTGCAGTCTGCTGCCGTTTCCCTTCTCTCGTGTCATGTTGGCTGGCGCTTTCCATTTTCTTGTATGGAATCAAATTTTCTCTCTAGAAATTGGATTGCTTTTGTGTCTTCCGTATCTATGTCTCTTATTTTTCCGTTGGAGATGCTTGAGGTTAAGGGG